AATTCTTTGCATTAGTACTTAACTGATGAAACAAATGAAAACCAAGTCAAAATACAATTATTTTCAAGGAGTATAGAACAATCTGCAGAAAGGAAACAGTTCTTTATAAAACATGTATTACTATTTGTATTAACAGGTGTGGGTGTTTCATTCCCTCTTATGCATAAGCCAAACCCTCCTGCAATTCTTCTGTCACTGAAGGCACAACCGTTTTAAATTAACAACAAATATACCCAAGGCATATTTTCATTTGTAAATAAGAGAAAGTATACATATTGTTTGTCTATGTGGAAATTTTATCCTAAGTACTACTTTACTTAATTATCTTACTAACTGAAAATTTTTTATTACTTCTGAGTTTCTTAAAGAGCACACAAACTACCAGTTCCCATAAAGAGGTAGTCTTTATTCGACTTCCTCAGTCTAGAGGCAGCCTTTCTTCTTATCCATAATGTACAAATAGTTTGTACACAGTTTTAATAAATGGGTTATTTGTAAATCACATCAGCTGCTTATGAGGGTAATAAGAGCAAAACATGTAAGTAATCATTGTATTCTCACTCTTTATATATGTAATTATTTGTGTCTTTCTCACCCGTGATAGCCAGATATAAGATGTTGAAACACGCTGATCTTTGTGCTTGTGTTTTATCATTGGCCATAGCTTAGGTGTTCTGAAATATTACCTAAGAATGTGTATGTTAGAATTCTTTCTCTCTCTCTATAAATACATGTATTTATATATACATATATATTTACACATTTATGTACATGTAGTATATATACGAAGTACATATGTTAGTATACACATACACACAAATGTTAATGTGTGTATACATACATATATATATATATACATGTATATATATATATATGGAAAGAGAGATTGAGTTTAAACCTGAACTTTAAAATATGGATTTAGATAAAAACATATGAATATTTTAGTTCCATCTACCTGAGGTTGCAAATATCTACCTATATATCTATCAATCATTACCAGGAAGGCAACTACATAGCCCTTTTGGATGAAAGATTCTAGTTGAAAAGGATTGGCTTAAAGAATAAAAGTAATTTGTGTGTGTGTGTGTGTGTGTGTGTGTGTGTGTGTGTGTGCACGCCCCTATAGCTGTGAGCACTGATGATGGTTAGGAAGAAGTAAAGAAGGTAACAGAGTGGGTGGGGGTACTTTCTGAGGATATGATGCCATATTTATATAATTTACTGTTATTTTATGAAAGCTAAGATCAGTATTTCTTCTTAGACCCTTGTTCCCTCCCAGTTAGACCTTACTGCAGTGGAGTGTCCACACCCCTCTTCCAAGGTTTTCAAATCCAAATAATCTGACTGTTAAAAGTAACCATGGTGCTTGCAAGAGTGCCTATGGAAATTCTCACTTCCTCCCATCTGTCTTTAGCTTACTGCAGAACAAAAATAGAAAACCATTTCCTTTTTCTATTTTTTGAATATTAATTTAAAGCTGTACATTAATAAACCACCTGCTAGCTAACTGCAGAGTTTATGTGGGTGTTAACTTGCAGACCCTTGACATTAAATATATTCCAAAGACTGTGGTATGGAAAGTTTGAGGGTGGAAAGTAGATAATGAAATTTAGCTGTGGTGCACTTTGATATAACCATTAAAAAAGCACATATTAATAGATTATATTCAGGATTTCCTCTTATGGGCACAGGGTTCTCTTAATACTTCTATGTTTGGAAATTATCACAATAATGAATTTATCTTTGTCCAGGGGCAAGATGGACTTCCCCAGTCATAGAAATGCAACAATGTGCAGAACTTTACAGGGAAAGACATTATATGAAATAAAATAGTAAAATAAAAATCTGGAACTCCCAAGATTTACACTGAGAGGGCTCTTTCTTGGTGAGGAGGACCACTGATTAAATGAAAGCAGCTCTATTCCCCTGTGTCTCGCTTCCTCTTGACATTTCTTGTGATTGCTGCCATCATGCACCCTTATCAGCTGGAGAGTGACACTGCCAGGGTTAGCTCCACTTGAATAAAACCTCTTCCTCTGACGCTCTTTGGCACAGGTGAGTAGACTAAACTAGGGATTTAAAATAAGAAAAAGACTGATGGTACAAGAAATGCACATACCTGACATATTTTAAAGGCAGGATTTTGTTCATGACAAAATTAGTTTTCTCAATAGCTTACTGATCTAATTCCCTTATGAAGCCACTGTGAAAAACGATCTTGCCTTATCTGCAAGTGCCCATTTGCGAGGTGACAACACTGTGAAGTGGCTTCTGTCACTAGCTGCTGTTGGCTTGGGGATCAAGGCTGAATTTCAGGAGTTGGGAACACTGGTAAACACTCCTGAGCGCTAGAATGAATGGAGTCGTTGCAGCGGTCAAAGCTTGACAGCTAGAGAGTCTCAGGTTCAAGTGCAGGCGCCAGAAACTGACATCAGGGCAATACCACAGAACTAGAAATCTGGATATGAAATCAGAAGCACAGGAAGTAAAAGGGAGTAGCTCAGAAGGAATGGAGTTGTGATTTGTTTCATGGACCTAAGTGTGTATAATTTGTATGATTTGGTTGAATAGTTTTAAGATTCATGGGTCTAGCCAGAAATGACTTCACTTTTCAGGTGAAATATTGATGTCTCCCCATTTTTTCCTTATTTCATATTTAAAAAATGATATTAAATATATTGATGGAGGAATGCTCACATTTATAGGCAGTGTACACTATAATTGCCCTTGATAAATGGTTATCTTTTACCTGCCACACCACTATCCTTTTTGCTGGTAGGTAGCAGTAGGCTAATATTAACACTACTCACTCTGTTGTGACTTGGTAACTTGATATTCTCTCCAGTGTTCATTTTATTATAGAGGATACGGAGCCTTTATTTTATTTTATTTTTCTCAGAGATTGATGTAAAAGTATTCATATACTTAGAAGACATAAAAGTACAGATCTCAAAGGACAGAGAAGTCCAGATCTCCGAAGACTTTTTGGATAGTCATGAGGGCAGTGGACATCTAGACTGCATAGGGCCCTCAAGTACATTTATATGCATAAGGTCGGGTGTTACCTCTTTTCTTGGCTGATTTATAATGAGGCACAGAGTGAGAGAGAATGTTGCCTGGCAGAGCTATCCACAAAGGAATCTGTAGACTTTCTTTCCTTGGTAGTGAACTCAAGAGGGTGCAAGGGGTGTCTTCTAGCCTCTCTCAGGGTATTGTGGGCTGACATTGAGGACCTTTGTTCTAGTGAGAAGGCAGGGACCAATATCCTGATACATTAATAACAAGGAAGAGCCGTGAGTCCTTATTCCTTGCGATTTCTAATAAAAGGCTTGATGCAAATTTGACATGATTTTAGGTTTTTCTGTGAAAATTCAACCAAGTTCTAGACTTTCTCTGGCAGTTTTCAGTAACACAATACATTTTGGCTTTTGGGGTAGGGCTTGCCATGTATTGTGTGGCCAAAGAAGTACAGCCTTTGGGTGTTTATGAAGAAAATACTTTGACATAAGTAGTACCGAGTTGATGTGAAGGAAAGTTAGCATGGATCCTAGTTCTTAAAGATTTCCAATTAAATGATAAAGCTTTCTGCCTATAATTAGTTGATGTTGATAATATTGAACTGTTAAAATATTGAAATAAATTTTTTTAGTTCTGGAGTTTGACTTTTTACAATATATTTTTTGGGAAATACATTCCTAGGAAAAGACTCTTGTGCTGTGAATAATTTTCCTGGCAAAAAAAAGCTTAAAAAAAAGCATTTTGTATAATATTACTAAACACCCACATTTCCAGCAATTTCTGAATTGGTTTCCACTGCTGTAACTAACAACCTGTGATTTATGGATTTGGAATAAATGAATTTCTTGGCTGTCATATACTTTGAGTAGGAAATATGTTTCTAGAAAAATGATTTAAGGAAGAAAAGAGCGAAGTGATGCCAAGTCCTGAAACTTTACTTGGCAACTGTGTTCCAGCCAAATGGTACTTAAAATGCTTCTCTAAATTTCTGAAATGTGTTTGCTAAATAATCTTTGAAACTGTAGTTTTGGACATAAGGTTTCTAAACATGCCACTTTTGAGCTAATGCCATGAAAAAGGGGGAAGGCAGCATATTGTGGCTCTCACCTTCCCAAGCACAAGAAATGCTTGATATGCTGAGTAAATTTCTTCAAAAGTGAAAGTTACACAACATCTCATTTTATCTGTCAAACATAAAATATTTAAGTGGAATCTTTGGATGAGTAGCACTGTTTTTAATGTGAAATTTTTAAAGCAGCTTCTCAACTTTATTGTGGGTTTGATCTACACTGTATTTTTGCTAGTTTTTACTAGTTTTGCTCAGTCCATGGATTTAACTGGTCCACCAACTTCAAATTCCATGAAGCATTTGCCAACTCTTTTCACACATTCTATTACAATAATAATTGGTTGACGATGGAAGAGTCTGCTAAGTACTGAGGGTTAGGAACCTCTGTGTGCTTTTTGACTATTACCTATGTGAGGGTTTGCCTCTGTGTGCTTTTTGACTATTATTGTCCAACAGGACTTTCTGAGATGATGGAAATATTCTACAGTGATTGTCTGTATGTGGCTATTCAGCAGTTGGAATATGGCTAGTTCAACTGAGAAGCTGAATATTTGATTTTGTTTTAATTAATTCACATGTAAATTTTAATAATCACATGTGGCTAGAATAGCGACTACTGTATCAGATAATAAAGGTAGACCTTAGAACAGTGAGTTTATGTATATGACCCTACGCAATTCTAGTCTTCCCTCAGAGGTAGCAGTAGCATTGGTCTTCTATGATCTGTATTTCCTCCTGCCTCCTCAGGGACATTGCCATCTTATTATGCTCATTCTGTCTGTAGCTTCACCTACTCCCTCTCTACATTTGAACACACATTTATTTTCCTACCTCAAAGAATATCCTTTCTTACTTCCATATCCTCTCGCTGGCACTCTGCCTGCTCATTCACAGCATCCTGTCCCTGCCAATCTCCAAACAGCACATTTGTTCATCTAGCTATTGGGGGAAAGTATTTTTTGGTATCATGCTGAAAAGAAAACTCACAGCATATGTAGTTTCAAAACACACCATTTTATTACATAAACATATCAATAAAGTCATCATACTGTGTTCCACTTCTAAACAATTATATGTGTGTATGTGGACACACACACACACATTTAAAGATTTCCAAGCGGAGTCCACTTTTATTCTCCCACGCTTGTAACTGCACCTTTTTGTAGCTAGTCTCTGCAGCACACCACCACACTAGTTTTACATATTTGTTCTAATGTAGTATCACATTACTTTTCCCAAGTATAGGCTCATACTAAAACTGTAATGTAGTCACTTAAAATAGTCTAGTTCATAGCTCAATGTATTGTGAAAATTAAATTTTTAAATACTTGAACAATCTCTTCCCAACTTTCCCTACATATCTCAAAAAGAATCACTACACATTCCAAATAAAGCACACTAAATAACTGAGCCCTGAAAGTACTGGGTTAAAACAATTACATTTAAAGACATACCTATACTGTTTATTTACACTGTAGACTATTTGGATAACTGTGATGATTGCATCTCTTAACTCTATGTCAAAGCAGTGATATGCCCACTTTTGTCCTTTAATGGGTGGTTTCATAAATTATTTCAAAAGGTGTTAAAACAAATTATGGTGTATTCTAACTCTGTATTGTATAAACCTGTCTACAAAGAAATATCACCTAAAATTAGTGTTGGTGGTTATTCTTTCAGTACAAAGCACACCCATGCATAAACTCAGTGGAACCACAAACACCCAAAATATCTGCATTGTATAGATTTTCAGTGACAAAGATCACACCTGCTTGTGGCACCAAATGAACAGTGATGGTATTGATTCACCACTTGAGGTTGCATGTATGGGCAACTTCTGTAATCTACTGGAGAGTGAAGTTATCTGTGTGAGTTGGGAGACTTCAAAAATCACACCGAACAGTCACAGTCCAGCTACTTCTTTTGATTATATACATTCAGAATTTTTCTGTGAGCTGATTTAAATAGGGTGGGTGAAGATCATGTTGCTCTAAAACTAAAAGACCCTCAGATTTCCACTAACTGGAATTACTGTTATCTTGTTAGCACAATAACCCCATATTTCGCTTATATTTATAACATGTTCTTATCCTGAGTATTAAAGATGTTAACTTACCTATAACTTAATAAGTAACTCATAAAAATGACTTGAAAATTGATTAGCTTTGGAGAAAAATAAAAGTATACAAAACAGTGAGAGTTAAACATTTAAAAATAATAGAGTTCTTTATCTGTTAACAGAGGTTATATTCTCATAAATGTTTTCAAAGACCATGCTATTTTCTTGCTTATACATATTGTCGTAGGTTGCTATTTTAACATTCCATGATGGAAGAGAAGGATTGGATCTAGCTCTATAAATGTAAGCCTATCTTTTCATTTCCTCCTACAGATAAGTCTTTCAGGTTCTTTGGATATATGCATTCTTAAAAATGGTCTCTCTGTATTATTCCAGATGAATTGTAAAATAAATAAACAAAAAACCTAAATTAAATTTTAACAAAGCTAATGGTAACTTCACCTTTTGTGCATCATTATCATCATTGTCCTTTTATGTAACTTAATTGGGCTGTGAAGTGTTTGAAATATAAGTACCGTGAATAATAACAAGTCATTATATCTATCTATCTATATATATATATTATAAATGTGGAAGTGTGTGATTTCAAGTTGTGTTTATGATCAGTATTAGTAGTTGTTATTACATAAATTCCATAATAATAGTAAAAGAGACAAATAGTTAACCTATCTTTACACTACACTATTTAGATCATTCAACTCCATAAATATCAGCCACATATTTACTCATAGCAGACAGAATACAAAGAATAAAAATGAACAAATTTAGCAGAAATTAAATATGTGATTTTTGTGGGCATAAAAAAGCCTTGAATAATTGTTTTCCGATCTCTGTGGGAATAGAATATTGATAATACCCCCACCGTGTCACGATTTCTTTTCTACTACCTGTTTACATTAATATTGCTATAAATATATGCTGTGTATATTTTCAATATTTACAATATATATACACACACACACACAGACACACACACTTTATTCTTAGGCTCATTCATGAACATGCAGACAAATCTGCACTGTATGATCAAAACATATTTATTTTCCTTAAATGATATTAATTTACAACTTGTCACTCTTGTGCAAAAATGCAAAAATATTGTACAGATTAGTATTGTCTCTCTCTAAAAAAAATCTCTCTTTTATGCTTTAGAATTTTTGTCATTTACAAATAAATTATGAAATATAGTTCATTCACAAATTGGAAATAATTACAATGTTTTTACAACAAGGCATTGCTGAGGTTTTGAATTGTGGCATTCTTGAAGCCATTGTCTTTCAAAACAAAGACATTAATAAGTTATTGTTATTTCTTGATATTTCTGATCTTACTTTTTAATTACTTTTATGAAATATGTCATTACAAATCTAATACTCATGCTAGGCAAATAGTGCTTGAATATGTAGACTATGAATCTGTTTTATCTCTTCCTCTTTTTTTGACTGGAAAGTCTTCTTTAGAACAATCTGGAAAGCCTGTTGAAATTACTGTTCTAGAACATTTCTGGGAAGTTTTTCATCCAATGAAAAAACTGAAGAAATAAATGAGGCAAATTGAGAACAATTTTAGAGGGTGCTCAGGAGAAGAAACAACAAATGCAAAAAATGTTTTCATTTTATCTCCTAGTCTTTTGGTATTTCCTTGCCTCATGAAAATCCTTAAAAAAGTTCAAAATTCTTTAACACCTTGATTATACTCTTCCATTAAATATCAGGTGGGGTCCTCCATTGCTCATGCTGTCTGTCATTTCCTGTTAGGAAAATAACATGCATTAATTAAAATTCACTTTCAGAGTAAGTCAGTGATTTGGTTAATGGATTTGCAAAACAAATTTCAAGCCACTGAAAAACTTGCCAAGTTTTGAAGAATCCTTGATTGATCAAGGACTGATATCGTTGTTACATCTGAGGAAATGAAATTTCATGGCATCTTGGAGCACATGAAAATGCTGAGTGACAGTCTTAGACCAAAGTCTTCTACCCACAAAAATAGTTCAGCATCTCCCCAGCCCCCTGAGCCTCCCCTTTGGATCAGCTCTGTTTTGGAAAGACCTCACCTAGAAAGAAGATGGTTAAATGCTCATTTTTCTCCCACTGTATAGGCTCCTCTGCTGAGTATGTCAGCAAAGTGCCCATATATTCTAGGGGTTACTTTTATTCTAGACAGAAATGTGCGACCTTTCATGAAGAACGGAAAGAGACTCACAAGTGGATTGTTGCTCATTTGTGACTGGGGATCACTGATAAATCACAGTGGGAAAGATTGTTTTTCATGATGCTATCACTCATACAGTAAAAAAAATAAAACAATTGGAAAGTCTCTTAACATATTTTTTAGGGATGAATTACTAAGAAGTTACTATTTCCAATAATACTATTTAACCAAAGCAAGAAAGGTAACTACTTTAAGCAATCCAAAATATGGGAAATAAATTTGAAAATATCACATCAAGTAATTTTACCAGAAGAAATCTTTCATATGGAACTTTTACTGTATTAGTGCCAAACTTTGTTATCTGCTCATGCAATTTTGGCATGAGGGAGATACAGTTTGTCTTTATTAGACACATCTATTATTAAATACAAAACTCTGGTCTGTGAATGATGATATTGAGTCAGAATCATGATGTAGCAGAGAATAGAAGGAGCCATGAGTCATCCAAGCAGAATGTGTTTGGATGCTTACAGACAGGCTGACTATTTCAAATACTCAACCAACTTGCAGGCTACAAGCCTCTGCCATATAGGTTTATGTCAGGTCCTCAAAGAAGTTCTCTTGAAATTGATCCTTTGAGGAACAACATACCAGCATCAGTCCAGACTGATGTGCTGACATCATGGCTTTCAGGAAGACCCAGCACTTCCTGGAGTGACAGTCCAACATGTAACTCCCTAGAGATCAGCGTACCTTGTAGGTAACTCTGGTGTCGGGGGCACCACCGGGCAGCTGGGCAAGTCGGTTATTTCAATAGCCCTCAATCTCTAATATAAATATAACAATCATACAATAAATATTGCACAAACATGAATACAGAAAACTAAATCACACATGTATAAAAATAGAGCACAGAAGAGCTACTATGCAAATGTATAATGATAATCTAATTTTACCCATTTCTTGAAGTTTTCAGTCCTGCTGTTTGTACCTTTAACTCTTTTTTAAGGACGTGGGGATCTGTTTAAAATTGCTTTCTTGAAACAGTTTAAGAGCATTTACTTTCCTTAGCTGATTGTATAGATAGTGTACAAAATGGAAACATAAAAATACAAAATACTTTTTTCTTCAAAATAACATTTTAAAGAAATATGCAATAGCACTTCTTGCTACTCTTTCTCCCACTTTGTGGCTAACAGTTGTTATTTCCATGCTCTCAAGTAAAATGTGATGTGGCCGTTATATTAACGAGTTTATTTTACAGGTGTTGTATCTTTTCCTTAGTAGATGTAGTAGCAGGAACTGAATTATGAAATATGTGCAAACTGTAGTAGAAACACAGCTCACTGCATCATTTGTCCTTTTATGCAATAAATGTAACTTCCTGTTTGAATGGGTTCCATGAAACAATTATGTAAGGAACCTTATTTAGAATAGAGGCAGAACCACCTAAATATGCATGAAGTTTAGATGAGAATTAAATGAAGCTTTATGTGGATTGTAATATCTACTCTGATAGGCGAGGCTTTTTGTCGCCTTATTAAAAGACCCCTTTATGCTTGAAAATCTCATTTACATAATCAAATGCATCTGCTTACAAGCATAAGGAGTGAACTAGAAAGGGGATTTCATACAGTTTTGAAAACCAGTATTACTGAGTTGAGACTGTATTTAGTTTATGTGTTTTTCCTCAGTATAATACATAAAAATTCGTATTTATAATGCATTCTATATGTTATGAAATGCTATTTTGGGAACAGTGCTTTTGTATAGAAAGACTACAAAATCATGTTGAGAATAGGTGTACCCCAAATTGCAGAGAAAAATAATAATAAAAAAATACCTATTCGTACACAAAATCCAATTCATCAAATTCTCATCTAAGGCTGCAAATGGATTCACCTCGATTTGACTGCAGTCTTCATCACCTGAGAGCAGTGAGAGGAAAAGGCACAGAACTCACTTTCTCAGCCATTTCATGAGAGTGATGCAGCGAGTGCTCCCTTTCTGAGAACATCCTCCTCTGTTCGTAGCTGGCTAGCCGGCAAGTGAGCCATGAAGAGAGGGTGCAGCCGCCAATCCCAATGCACGCAAGAGACATGGAGGCAAGATGCAGAGGGTAGAGGGAAGAGGTCTTCTTGGTCACTGCCCGGAGGAACTGGAAATTCAGGATGCCCCCTATCAGTCCACAGATGCAGCAGGCAGAAAAGAGGATCATCTGATAAGGAAAAGAAAGTGGGTGTTAAAGGGGAAGGAACAACAAAGCTGGCAAGGATGCACGGTACAGTCCTGTTGCGGGCGGAGGGTGGCTGCGCTGTCCTGAAGAGAAGTGCCTGGGTGCTTCTCAAAAGACGGGAGCTTCCCTTTCACCAAGTTTCTATGCCCTCTGACTCAACAGGGAGGGCGCAGACCCAGCCCTTCTGGAATTAACAGCTGACTATATACAGAACGAGGAATGCTCATGAAACCTCTGAACTCTGAAGTAGGAAAATTTGTCTTCTAGGTAGCTTTAGATTTAAATAATATTTTTATCTATTGTGTGTGCCACTATGGAATTGGAACAGGTATCATAGCAATGAACCCACCCAGCAATCCTCTGAGAGAGAGAGTATTACGCATTTTGGAAAACAAATGGTGAGCAGATAACACTCACATTTAGGGACGGAACTCAGATTCTCTGACTCCATCCTGTTTCACTATGTTAACCCCCCCAAAATATCTAAATTTCTTCTCATCAAATTGTCATTAGTTCTGTTAAGCTTCAAATCTTTATATACTGCTCTAGCTAGATGAGCTTAGGGAATTTACTTAACTCCTTTTTTTCACTCATAAGAATTTTATTGTATGGGTATCTATTTCCCCAAAAGGTAGTTTAGGGACTCACAGTGAACTGGCCCTTGATTTTACAAATCTTTTGTTACTCTGTGGCACCACAATGAAGAATATACAATAGATATTTCAAAACTATTGTTGGGTTGGTAATTTTGGAGAAACACAGGATGTGGCTTGTTTTTAATGCTACTATTGGTTTAACCTGGGTCTCTATTAATAGAACTAGGGGATTTTATTTAACTTAAAGATCACAGAATCCCCAGAAGAACCAAGCACAATGTTATTATCTGCATCATATATGTTTGGACAATATTTAATGAACTTAATTGAATATTCCAATAGCTTTAATAATTTTATTTTATATTTGCATCTAGCCTAAATTCTCCTGTGAGCTATCATGACACTAATAACTGATAATATGATACTAATTTAATTATCCAAACATTTCCATTTTTCTCTGGAACACAGTCTCTTCATCAGTCACTTCTCTTGTTCATCAGTATAGCTTGTTCATTCTCACCTTAAGGATGTTTTTCATTTCCTGGAAATTATTTTGCTTTTTTCTTGGACTCCTAGATGGAAGACCAAATAGTCCTAACTTCCTCAGAAAGCCTTCCTGGACTTTACTAATCTTCTTTGGCAAATTTCCACAGGGCAAACAGCTGTATAACTTATTTTAGCATTTAACCTTAAACTATCAGGTATTATTTGCTGTTAACAGTTGTGTTTAACAAGCACTTGTTGAGTCCCTAGCATCTGTTAGACCCTGAGCGAGGCAGGAGCTGGCTTTTCAAGAATACCTCATAGTTATAACCCTTGAGAACACTGTAGTCTTGTGTGAGAAAAGATACAACATTCCAACATGGCATGGCATCTATGGAGAAGGAAGGATGAATGGGTTGCCCTCAGAGTAGGAAGGAGGGGAATTTAGCCCAACTAGGGGTTTCAGACAAGGTCTCCTTGACAACACGTCATCTGAGCTATGTACATGCAGTTCCCAGCAAATTGTAGGCCTTGGATGTGTGAAATAGCACAATGAGGTAGCATGTGGGGAGTAGTTTGCTGTGTTCCCGTAACTTAAATTCAGCATTCCTTATTGTGTGTCTCACAGTACTTATTACCAAAACTGAAAGCCCAGAGATGGATAAGTATATTCCTTTTAAAACTGATTAAAATAATCCTAGGCGTCAATTGGCAAGTAATTTAATCATTAACTATTTGAAATAGTTTTATTCCCTTTTAAAGTATACTCAGATGGCATGCAGTCTTTGGGGAGTATATTTTGGTGTTTACCTATTCTCAGAAAATAGAGAAAGATATTACATTGTAGTCTTCAAATAATGAATTACTACTAATTAAGAAAATAAATTATAAATTTAATTGACAATCACAGAAAAACACTCTCCTGATGTTATTCTTATTAATTCTTTAAAGGCATGACACTTCATCAACCTGTGCAGATGGGACATTCTTACCTAGGAATTAGCATGTTAAAAATCTGTACCCAAGTGTATAACCATATACTATTTTCACATCTCACCAGACTGGAGATCCTAGACTCCAGAGATAAATGGAGTAGAGAAATTTTCACACTTTGATTGAAGGGTAGTGAATCCTTGACAGCGAAATGTCTGTGAGAACTTCATATGCTACAGGAGGATACAGTAGATGGTAGTTCCTAAAAAGTTCAAATCTTAATGATTTTTTTCCTCTAATAGCTTGTAAGAGAATTAGAAAGACAGAAGAAAGTCACGTCTTTAAAAAAAATCTCTTCCCTTCTGCTACGAACCGAGTGTCTGTGTCCCTGAAAAACTCACATGTTAAAGGCTCAACCCCAGTATGATGGTATTTGGAGTTGGGACTTCTGGAAGATTATAAGGTCATGTAGGTAAGACCCTTGTGAATGGGGTCAGTGCCTTCCTAAAAGAGATTCTAGAGCGCTCTCTTTCCCCTTTTGCCATTGGAGGACACAGCCAGGAATTTGCAGCTTAGAAGAGTGTTACCACAGCCCAACTCTGCTGGCACCTGATCTGGGACATCTAGTCTCCCAGACTGCAAACGATAAATTTCTGTTGTTTATAAGCCAGCCAGTCTATGATACTTTGTTATATCAGCTCAAACTGACTTAAACATCATCCTGCCCCTCTTGTCCCTCCCCCACTCCTCCCTTTCTCTCTTTTTCTCCCTCCTTCCCTCTTTTCCTTCTTTCTTTTTCCAAGAAATCATTCATATATAGACATAAAGATTCTTGGCAGAGGAAAAGCTTAGAAAGAATGAAGACCATGTGTGAAAAGTGATGGGAGAATCATAGATGCAAATTATAAGCCTCCAAAAAATTTTTTGCCCAAAGGTCTCCCTCTATGTAACTAAAAAAAATTACATCTCACATGTCTAAGCAACGGGGACCTCCATCTGTTTTGTTGCAACAGGTATTCTCACAAAGAAAGATACAACTAGAAAAGGAAATTAAACAAAACTACTTGTAATATTCTGCATTCCTTGTCTCCCAGATGACTGGCCTCTCCTGGAAAACTCTTTCCAGGCTCCAAGGCTACTTTCTATGGTCCATATGTAGTATTAATATATAATACTATATATCTTTGCCAAAATAAAGATCTATGATCTTTCCTGTTGTACTTAACAAAATAAACTATGCTTTTCTCTTCTTTCCAGCTCTCAAAAAATGTCATGGAAGGCAGTGGGGAATCCACACACCAGTCTGCCTTTCTTTCTCTTGCAGCCAGTGTGAGAGTCAACTGGGACAGAGTTCCACAGCCCCCAAAACCCACAACAGTACCATAAAACATCTGATAACACTTATATTTGCATGTACAGTAATCAAATATAATTAAATAAAAAATATTCTGGAATTAATTGTAACTATAACAACACAGCTGTTTTGTAAAATTAACTTCACAAAGTCAGTAATCCGTAGACCCAGTTCCATATTTAAACAGTTAAATTCCCCATGAACTCAAGTTATGTCTTTTTCAGCTTACTGAAGGATTCATCTGAGTGTCTGGGAGCCTATAAACTGGAAAAGTGGAGATTCATCCACAGAAGTCATTGAGTGTTGCATGCTCATGTATTTAAAGAGCATATCAAAGCTTTCCTTTCTTGTTCTTTGTCACAATCTCAGATAATCTTGATGGTTTTCTTTGAAAATGAAAAACCCAGGGTTTATTTGTCAGTTTTCCTTTTATCCTAAATGAGTAACATTCAGCATGTGAAAGTTGGCTAGTCATCATTTTCTTTTCTGAGTTCTTACATTTCACATACTTCAATGCACAATACAAACAAGGCAGAAACTTACGACAAGTCCAGATTTTTTTTTGGCGCACAAGATTCCACATATGCCACAGAGAAGAAACTGAAAAAAAAAAGAATAACAATTATTTCATATCCAAAAATAAGAGAACCCTTCATTTTTAGCTCATGGTTCACTCATGACACTTGCTCCAGGGAAACTAAACATTTTATGTTACCATCAAAAGCTACAAAGGAAAATAATCTCATTCTAAAACATGAGACAAAAATGCAAACTCTAATGAAAACTGTGTTTTTGCAAGGTTAATATAGGTATTGAGGGGTTTAAGCAAAACTTGAATCAGTTTTACCACCAGGCAAAATTTTGAGGTAAATGAATTTAGAGTTTTGTTTCTTCTATTTCCTTTCACTGTTTTCTTATCCCTTCTTTCTTTTTCAGGGAGAAAAGTGGTGTGATACATTCATTCATGCTAAGCAACTAGAAATCCATGGGTTCTATTAAGGTAGGAAATATAGCACAAATGAAAAGCTGAGGCTTCAGACAGGAAGATTTTTTTCTTGTAGAGACATTCTTCATACCTTTCAAACTATGTCAGGTAAAATAGCTACCTCTTCATTCTACCAGAAATATTGTCCTTGTGGATGTGTCAGAAGAACACATGGGGATGAAGCTATGGATGATATGTAATTCCTTGTAAATAAGTACACTGGTGACATAATTGTTTTGCAAAAGCAGTTGCATAAAATCATCTACCAACAACACACTATTAGACATTTTCATTATCAGAAAATGATAACTTGTTTAACTTGGATAGAATTATTAGGGTCTGTTTGAATGCACATTTATACATACTTCTGGCTGGAGGTAAGCCATATAAATAAAATAATACATTCATTAATAAATAATAAGCCCACTAAAGGCTTTCAGATTAGCAAAGAAAACTTTGAATGTAGCTAAGTTCATTTCCATTTGAGTTTTCTTTTAAATGTTGCTATCTCAAATCAGAATTAATAACATAAATAGTTTGAACTGATATTTCACACATGGATATATTTTTGAATATACACATCAAAATATTCCAAGGATTATCTGAAATAAATCATATACTTGTGAGAAGCACCAACAAAATTTGATTTTAAAAAATAGTTAAGGGGAGTTTCCCTTTGCAGGGAATTTTCTGGAGAAGGGAACAAAAGGATTATAAAGGAGGTAATGTTGCATTAAGACAATTAGATCAGAATACAAGGATATATAAGACTTGGGTATATAATATAAATGATCTTTCAAATGAATGGTGAAAAAATGAAGACCATTTATTCAATAAATGGAATTAAGACAATTTATTAACTTTCCCTAACATCATATACTAAAAGGTGTATGAAACAGTTTGAATACTTAAATGCATAAAAAATATAAATGTAGTAGAAGATAGTAAGGGTAAATACTTATATAATTTTAGAGGAGTGGAAAGCATTTTCTATACATAGCAGCAAAGTCATAGACCAAAATGGAAATTACATATAAGTATTAATACATAAAATTAAAATTCTGATACTAAAAAATATAATTCTCAAAGGCAAAAAAATAATTAAGATTATATTCAGAAAGCATTTAACATGCAAAGGTTTAACATTTTATGTGCATAAATGTATCAAAATAATTTTAATATCCTAAAACTGTTAGAAAATAAGAACTCAGAACTTTATGATACTTGAATACTTGCATTATTTTCAGAAGCCTTAAAAAGTTACTTTTGAATGACCATTTCCCCACCCCACTCCTTTTTTTCCTAGGTCTAGATGATCTTGTCCTCTTTTGGGCTTTTTCTTACTGTCTTATATCTTCTAAGGTTGTGCCAAGACATTCCAGTTTGGACCAATTCTGTACCTGTCAGTGCTTCCAAGCTTCAAATCAAAGCTGTAGCATGTCCTTCTCCTTGCTTTTCTGCTAACCTGTTATTCACTCTGTAAGTCAACTCACCCAGAACTCATTTTTAAATAATCTGAAAGTAGTGTAGTTCTGTGTTCCTTGGATCTTCAGAAATCTATGAACATTGCCATGTTTATTCACAGCAAATCCTGAAGGCACCTCAGGACCATAAGCAGAGTTCTTCATGCCAGCCCCTTGGGTAGAACATCTATGTGGCAATAAAATTGCTTCTCTCTATTGTCCCACTAAGACAAGGAAATTCAGGGCTTGGAAGGAGGAAGGTAGAGTAGAAGGGGAATCAAACAATATTTTTCCACTCTCCATCAGGCATGGAAATACATCCCAACAGTTACTTCTCTTAGGCTAGCTCAAATCCACATTCTTTAGAGGAAACCTGTAATCTGAGAAAAAAGAGACCCATATAATGGGAAGGATATAAAATTGTGGAATTTCTGAGGTGGCTTTAAGGGATCTTGGCTGAAGTTTAACTAATTCACAGTTTATAGAGAAGAGTAAATGAAGTACAAAAAAGCAGTAAATAATTTCTATTTCATTGGCTACTTTACCCCAAATCAGAGCACCAGAAGCTCTTATAAGATGACTCAATTCAGCCATTGAAGTTTGCACATGGGGAATGAGAGGTCCAGACAAATTTAGCGACTTGCTCAAGGTCACACATCAGAATCACAAATCACATATAATCTAAGGCTTTATTAAGTGTGTAAGTTAATTTATTTCTAATAATGTGATAGAAACACTTTTCCAAAGGATTTTAGTGCTAGCAGTGGGCACTCTAACTGGAAGTGTTCAATGAATATCTGATCATCTATAATCCCTCTTCTTGCCCTTGCCATTGTTAATGTTTGCTGTGATAAATAGATTAGTTGATTAAAGTCTAAAATTATGTTATTAAACAGGGAATGTGCTATAATATTTCAAGATACTTTTTTTGCTCAACATAACTTTACCCAGGAGGCAAAGCTGTCACCCACATTTTGTAAATTATAAAGCAGGTGAAAAACAAATTAGTTTAAAATAAGTAAAACCAATGGCTGGGAATACATATCTGAATTAAACAGAATTTTGTATAATATACAATTGTACATGATAAAATACAATTTTATTTCTGAGAAGATGTGCTGTTTAAATCCAGGGAGAGTTATTTGTTTTGCTCTTACTACGAAGTTATATAAATGAAAACATCTAATGATAGGGCATCAAGTGCAACTATGTTATAAAGCTAGTCCTCTGCATGGAACTCATTTGATTCCAATTTAGATTAAATTCAATAGACAACTAAGGTTGTGAGTCATAGGATTAAATGGAGCTATGATGGAAATAGTGTTCTATATTTTGAGTGGATTTTCTTAAAGGGCCATGGAGCCTTCTTCTTTTGTTTAGGATGTAGAAAGACCAAAGACGTCATTCTCACCTTAACAGTAAGGAAAAGTGGATAAATTATAGACCGGTAACTTCTCGAGCCCATCAGAGAGCTGAGGCTCCAAGGCAACAGAATGAGCCCCTGGAAAGACAGACTGTAGACGCAAACTGATCACCTGTTGTGGAGATGGGAGGAGATGCTGGTTGTCACACAAGGGGCGCAGAGGGGGTGCAAAGCCCTGATCCGTCCTTAGGCCTCCTTTCTCATGAATCAAATGCTTTAAGCCCCTGGCAAAGGGGTAGCAAAGCCTGTCATTTCAGGCTTTTTAAATGAATTGCTATTATAATTAGAAGAAAAGTAGAAAAAAAAATTATTTATACAGGGGGAGGGGCAAAAACTCATCTAAGGCCTAACGTCCTCTGCGTATGCTAAAAGGGAGTCATTAGCCACTGCAGGAGGGGCCTGAACCTCCTATACAAGGCCAACTTCGGCTGTCGCAAGGAGGCCAGCACAGAATGCTGAGCAAGTCCCGCCCTGAGGTCAGAGGCACAGCACCTTGTTAAGCAGTAGTTGGATTAGAACAACCAAGAAGCCTCTCCACTACTCCTTCCCGCTCTTCACCAGAGCCCAACAGGTAGGAGTAGTCTACACTGACAGGCAAGAGCATCACGGGAGGGTACTCGCTCGGTGGGGGAGGCGAGCAGGGACAATGAAAAGCTGAGGCAGAAGCACCAGATGCTGAACAGTTAAGGCGCCATCAATGGGCTTGGAAGACTACGTGCACCAGGGGCGATCAGTCCAACAACAAAATCAATTCCTCTCGACAATGACTCCACCTTTCACACTAACGGCCTAAAAGTAGATAGTAAGATATAATACTTCCAAGGTTCTGAAAAGAAGGACTTTTGAACTTTGAGCTGGGCATTCAGCCAACTCTTACTCACACAAGAGATTACAAGAAAGGCATGCGCATTTGGGCGAAACACGGAATCAGGCTGGGCTGATTTATGGCTCTCCAGAGGTAGACATATCCTAGTCCCCGGACCTTAGATGGTGACAAAAGCCTTTGCAGATGTGATTGAACTAAGAATCTCGAGATAACACAAGAGATTACAAGAAAGGCATGCGCATTTGGGCGAAACACGGAATCAGGCTGGGCTGATTTATGGCTCTCCAGAGGTAGACATATCCTAGTCCCCGGACCTTAGATGGTGACAAAAGCCTTTGCAGATGTGATTGAACTAAGAATCTCGAGATGAGGAGATTTTTGTGAATTATCCAGGTAGGCTCTAAGCATAATCACAAAGGTCCTTCAAAAGAAAGACAAGAAGGTCAAAAGAGACAGAAGGCTATATGAAGACACATGAGACAGAGAGAAAGACATTTGGAGAGGCTACACTGCTGGCTTTGAAAATGCAGGAAGAGAGACATGAGGCCAAAGAGGCAGGTGCCCTCGGAGAGCTGGAAATGGATTCTCCCAGGGGACCTCCTGAAGGAACGCAGCTCTGCAGACTTCTGGCCTCCAGAACTTGAGAGAATAAATTTCTGTTGTTTTAAGCCACTAACTTTGTGATAATTTGTTCCAGCAGCAATAGGAAACTAATACAGGCTCCAAAACATTATTTTATATGAGAATCTCTAAAAGATTTACTAGAAGCTGCTCTTCAGGAAAACAAATAGGAAAAGAAATAGGGAAAGAATGTTGTAGCAAAAGCAAAAAACAAAACAGTGAATCTTTTAAATCAAGAAGTATTTTGGGGAAAATTAATACCTGTTTAGAAGGAATATCCCC